TTTTTTTTTTTTTTTTTTTTTTTTTTTTTTTTTTTTTTTTTTTTTTTTTTTTTTTTTTTTTTTTTTTTTTTTTTTGCATGTTATAACATATTGGAACTTGCATTACCAGCAGGACTGAAGAGGTCGCCTTCAGTTTCAATGGTGGAAAAGATTCGACTGTAAGCTTTGATGTCTAATTCTCTATTTATCTAACTGGTTCCTTTTTCCTTCATTGGTTACAATGGCAAATTGAATGTGCAGGTTTTACTGCACATTCTTCGAGCTGCCTTTTTCCTGCACAAGGAGGAAGAAGGATGTTCTGTTGATGGACTCGAGAAATTTCCTATTCGAATAATATATTTTGAAAGTCCTTCTGCTTTCCCTGAAATTAACTCATTTACTTATGATATGGCAACTAAGTAAGAGAAACACCTTTAATTTCACTTTAGGGAATTGAACGTATAGGTCACTTTTAGCTAACTGCTAATCAACTCTTTCTTACATAACAGTTATGGCTTGGTAATGGATATCATCCAGACAGATTTCAAATCTGGCTTGGAGGCTCTATTAAAAAATAGACCGATCAGAGCTATTTTCCTGGGTGTTCGCATTGGGGATCCTACTGCGGTATTGTTCGTGCTCTTTCTCATTAAACTATACATTTCATAGTGGCTATTTAATTTTGTACCACTTATTTCAAGTTCTAATAAGGCCAATTTGAAATAAAGATGCCTTGATTTGTCTTTCATATTCTTTTCCCCCACAAAATAAACAGGTTGGCCAAGAACAGTTTTCCCCTAGTTCACCTGGATGGCCACCATTTATGAGAGTGAATCCTATTTTGGATTGGTCGTATAGGTGTGGTTGTTACTATATGCTCCTTTACTTATTTATATATTTTTAGTATTGTTCCCAGCCTAACTTTTCTATAGTTGACTCCTCAATCTATGAGGATAATGGCGATGTGCAGAACGTACACTTTTCAACGTAATAGTTGCTTTTCTACTATGACTATTGGTTATTTTTCTCCTCATTCTCCTCTTCTTCTTCTCAGAGATGTATGGGCATTCATATTAACTTGCAAGGTCCAGTACTGCAGTCTTTATGATCAAGGGTAATGATACCAAGCAAATACAGAATGATAGTTATTGTGCTTGCTGTTGTAGCTGAAGGGTTTTGTTTGTTTGTGATGCCATTACTCTTTTCGTATCTTTCCGTTGATATTAAAAGTTATTTATTTCGTTTTTATTTTATAGATATACTTCAATTGGGAGTATACATGATACACTTCCAAATGCGTTGTTGTGCATTAGTAATTCCTCTGGAAGCAAGGAAAAATTTAGACCCGCATACTTGCTTTCAGATGGAAGATCTGAACGAGCTGGGCGTGCAAAAAGGTTTTCACCTTCCGTGCCAAATCCTAAAAGTAATGGTGCGAGCAATATGGATTTACAGAAACAAAGCATGCTCACTGCTTCGGTCATAGGTGTTGGAGATGAAATCCTGTAAGTCTCGTTTGTACTGCGTTATAATATTATGTATTTGTTTTTTGAGTATGTTTATTTTTGTTTGTAAATATATTTGGAAGTAAACCTTTGTAATTGTTATAATGAACCTCAACCAACCCTATAACCTTTGACTCGTTTTTTTTCATCCCACTGTTTTGAAATCATGTTCTCAAACGGATTACTTTTGTGGTTTTTCAACTTGGGATATTCATGTCATGTTTTGTGATTTATGTTCCTCATTTTTATATGATCCATCATATGTTTCATTCTTAGAAATATAAAACCAAGTGCAGTTTCGTTTTGAAGATTATTGACTATTTTTGTTGAAGCCTTTCCTTGTTCTTTATCCGCCCCATAGCTCAGCTTCGGCACTGTTAAGGATCAATTGGGACTCTCACTGCGTAGAAAGGTGCATTCTATTGGTTGGTCTATATCACATACTTCTATAGTTCGGAATGATGTAAGCTTCTACAACAACAAAGTTTCAACTCTTGGTTAATTAGCTACCCTGCTTGAAGTATTATTCATTGTATGTAATGACGTACTTTTTAAGATTGAAGACATTACGTTTCAAATGGTACTAAATTTAAGTTGCTGTGTATGTATAGGCATACACGAATTTCTGTTTTAGAAAAAGATGGATTTCATGAGCTCTCGAACCTATTTGTAATTTCTCAAATAGAAAAGAGGATCGACCTTTGTTAATCTTTCATCCTTTGCTTGTATCAGATAGATTCCGTTGCTGAAGAAGTGGAGTTACGAAGGTCATCCAATGAGATGGTAAACACTCATCTTGGTTTGGGTTTATGAAATATTGTCATGGAATTATTTGATGCATCTAGACTGTGCTTTTAATCGCTGATTAGTGCAGGTGTTCATATATGGAGGAGTAGGTCCATTGTTTTCGGATGCAACTTTAGGAGGTATTGCGAAGGCATTTGGCGTTCGACTGGTGCGTTGTTTTATTTCTTTAACAATTTTGAATTGGGATAGTTGAATAGAAATTAAATTAGATAATTGGTAATCAAGATATGCTTGTCCTGAAACTTTAATAGGCTCCTGATGAAGAGTTTGAAGAATACCTCAGACATCTTATAGGGGAGCATTGTACTGGTGATCGAAATGAGGTAATTTCGATCCGAACATAGATGTCTAGGTTTAGTTCTCTTGTGATAAACTGGTGTTTTCTTTTCAGATGGCTCAATTGCCTGAAGGGATCACCGAATTATTGCATCACGAAAAGTTGTCGGTCCTGTTGGTATGGTTGGATGAATGTGTGTGGGGTTTTTTTTCCTCTCATTAATTGTACAAGACACAATTCGTCTTTGGTTCTGTTGAATTACCTTAAATGTGAATCTCTCTGATATAATTTCTGCAGTGTTGTTTCTTCATATCAGTAGTTAACTATTCTCTCTCTTGTAGATCAAGTGTCACAACGTCATAGTTCTTACTGCAACAAACATAATGGAACTGGATTTGCAGTGGGATTGTTTGATTGAATTGACGAGAACTGGTGACCTCTTCCCCTTACTGGAACCATATAAATCCAAGCACTTGACCACAAAACTTTCAGATGTATGTATCAAATTTTCCTTTTCTTTCCACGCTGCTGCTGTTTTGGCCATATTCTATTATGAGTTATTGTTGCCTCAAATCTATCTTATAACATCAATATTCCCAGCAGATATTGTTCTCTTTGGGTTTTCCTTTATGAGCTTCCCTTCAAGGTTTTAAAACGTGCCTGTTAGGGAGAAGTTTCCACAACCTTATAAGGAATGTTTCGTTCTTCTCTCCAACCAATGTGAGATCTCACAATCCACCCCTTGAGGGCCTAGCATCCTCGCTGACACACTGCCCGATGACTAGCTCTGATACCATTTATAACAGCTCAAGTCCACCACCAACAGATATTGTCCTCTTTAGGCTTCCCCTTTTGGGCTTCCCATCAAGGTTTTAAAACACGTTTGCTAGGGAGAGGTTTCCAGACTCTTATAAGGAATGTTTCGTTCTCCTCTCCAACCAACGTGGGATCTCACCATTAATACCTAGTATCTTAAGTATTGAAAAACCTTTTATTGCAATGAAGTCTAGAGATGTCATAATGGTTGGTAATTGGTTTTAGTTTGTAAGATTTTGGATCTGTTAGATAGAACCCACTCGAGACACCTCGGTAGACTGCAGCATTAGACATGAAGTACAGATCCTGTTTCTTCATAGGATGTTTGGAATAACTAGGACATGGCATATGGCATATAGATGATGTTCACACTGTTATCATCATTCCATCAATCATGTTTTTCTATTAAAAAAATGTTGAAACATAGAATAATGTCGATTTTGTATATAACCGTCTGAGTCCCGGTTTCATTCCATTTGATCGAACAGAGATTTCATGCATTTTTTCTTTGCAACCAATTTACTGGTTCCATTAGTGTCCAACTCTCCATATTTTCTTTTAATACAGGTAGAAATTGCTCCATCTCTGGCTAAACTATGTCTTGAATTCCCAGATTTACACATTGGTGAGTCTTTCAACTAGTTTAAACCAAATATCTTCTGCAATCTCATTCTAACCATTTCCTTTGTTCTGTCAAGGATGTTATCGAGAATCGAGATCTGGGCCAATTATTATAAGTTTCCGAGGGAAGGTACTAACTAGTAGTCTCCTCTGCTCTTAAAAAATCTCTCTACGAACGAAATCAAACGAAATCGTAACATTTTGCTAGTTTCGTTTCAGAATGAAGAAAGAAACCAGTTAGCTACAGAAGCCTTGAGCAAGAAGTTCCAACCCGGGGCATTCTCTGAAATCAACTTACAGTCTCCAGAAACCTGAAGGCTAAAATTTTGAAAGCTGCAATCAAGCAAATAGCAGCAGGCATTACCAATATCGCACAGGAAACCAGAAGCAAACAAAGGTTTAATGTGTAAGCGGAATGAAGTTGACTAGGATTTCGAAAACTGGAAGGAGAGAAGATCAACGAAGAGCTCGGGATCGTGACCGTGCAAAGTCATGGAAGACGAAGGAACTATCCAATTTACAGCCATTGACTTATATGATAAAAATGGCAACTCATTATTATTTTCTGGGCAGGAGGGAATGTAAAACAGCCCAATATTGGAGTTTGAATGATGTTACTATCATCCTATGATTTGTTCCAACATACAAAATAATTTTTTATGGGTTAAAAATTTGAACTTTTGACCTTTTTGTGTACGGTCATGAATAGGGCTAGGGCTGGACTACCAAATGTGGAGAAGAGGTGAGTTTGGATCGATCAGCCTCAACCTCGGGTCGTATCTGACCCTATGCTCGGGCTCATGACGAGCACGTCCTGCATGCCCCCCGTTCATGCATTTTAATACAACTAAATCTTCTGTGCTAACTTAAATATGGGAGATGATTTCTTTTTTGTTTTGCAAGCCACTTTCTCCCCATCCTTATTGTTGACTAGTGATCGAGGCCAAATCGAACAATAATTAAGATTAATTAAGGTCCACTCGTGGCTAAGTTGGGTAAAATTCAAAACTATTATACTTGAACTGTATATAGTTGATATACATGAAGATCATATTCAAGTAATAAATATACATGAAGATTATATTCGAGTAGTAACCTAAATAATTTATTCTTATAACACAATTCATATTCAAGTAATAACTTAGATCTATTCTTATAACACAATTGATACGAACACTTTATAATTTTTAAAAATTATAAATCTATTAGTCGAGAAAATTAACATTTTACAAAAAAGGATCATATACTCATAATACTGTTTGATTTTAATATGAAAGGAATAGAGAAATTAGGTAACAGCATGAATACATATGTACATTTTTTAATCATGAACTTTGCTCCCTTGACTGAATTTAATTTTCATGATTAACTAAATGATGAACAGTAGTTGAAATTTCGCACTAGAAAGAGGAAGTGAAAATGCATTGTAATTTGGTTAATTTATTTTTATCATTTTGTCAAGTTGTAACAAATAAGTTCAACATCAAAATTCAAGTTTAAGAAGAGAGACAAAAAAAAATGAAGAACGAGAAGAAGAACAAATTGGTGCCGTTGGTCTCCTAACTAAATTAAAGGAATCAGTAACCAATTAAGCAATCAGTGAATTTGTTATATTCATAGTTCATCAAAAACTTTCCATAAACAACGACAGGTTTGAACCTCGTGGAAATTAGAGAAGAAGAAGAAGAAGAAGAATTTATTATTCGGTAATTCTAACGGCCGATTCTGAAAATTTTCCAAAATCAAACACACTTCCCCTTGGCTTATAAATCAAAATTAAAATCGAATTCAAAATGAAAAAACACTTTCCAAAAACGACGACAGGTTGGAACCACAATTTGAACCTCGTGGAAATTAGTAGAAGAAGAAAATTTTCCTAATCGGTAATTCTAACGGCCGATTCTTAAAATTTTCCATAATCAAACACACTTCCTCTTAGCTTATAAATCAACAATCAACAATCAAAAACTCACTTACAAATCAGTGCCAAACTCGATCCTCAGAATGTCTTTCGTTACCTCTAGACCGATCCAGTATCGTATTTACGGCTACACATCCGCCGCTTCCGGCGAGCAACCCTATCAAGTTCTGCAACTCCAACTGCGCTATTTCCGCCGTGATATCTCTGTTTCTCCGCTCTCCGGAGTTACGTACCTTCAAGAAACTGCACCGATTCCACTGAGGAATCTTCTGTTCCCGCTCCGTCTACAGGAACTCCATGATCCGGTGTTCCTCCAGGTCTACGTCGCACAGTTGCTGTCCTTACTCAACGTCCGCTCCCCCGTACGCGAAGTCATTGCTGAGCGCATCGTGTCGTACACCATCCTAGTGGCCGGCGGAAACAGAGAGACGAGTTTCCACACGGTCTTGGAGCTCGATTACATCCGACTGATCACCTGGATGGAAGAAAACCACGGATTGTTCCAGGGATGGAGCAATGGCAATGCAATGGGGGAGGAGACGGCGATTCTGGAAGAAGCTCAGCCGGTGACGGAGAAAGTGGAAGAGAATGGGGAAGAGATGGGGGATTGCAGTATCTGTTTGGAAGAACTGAATGGGAATGGCGAAGGGAAGAAGAGGGAGGAGGTGATAAGGATGCAATGCGGGCATGTGTATCATGAGTCATGCATCTTCAACTGGCTTCACCATAACAGTTCATGCCCCTTGTGCAGAGCCCCATTGTGAAATTCTTCATTTTTTGTGGGTCTCATTTTAATTACTCATTTTTTGAGGGGCTCATTTGCAATTACTCTGCTTACACGTGTATGCCCCCACTGCTACTTGTAGCATCATTAACACTAATAACACTAATTCTTTTTTTTGGAAATTCCTTTGCATGTTCGATAAATATTTTTTTCCATTTTTTTATTTTAAAATTTGAATTTATAAATACTACTTCTTATAAAAATATTTAATTTGTTATTTTCTTTTTATCATTATTTTAAAACTTAAAATTATTACTTTTTTTATCTAACTAAAAGTTTAATTATTTCTTTAAAATGTTATAATTATTGTAATATAATTGTGAAAATAAATACAAATTTTCTAAAAGGAGGTCAGAGATCAAACAATTAATCCTCTAATAATTATTTTTAAAGAAAAAGAAATAAATGTCCTTTTTAGGATCTAGCAAATAGCATTTGGAAAATCCAAACAATATGTCGATTTCAAATATTGATATCAATCATCTACGGGCTTCATTGTCGGTGGCCTACCTCGAGCTCGTTCACATATTTGTGGCAGGTAAATTCCCATTCTACCCCTACTTCGTGATTTTTTATTTTCTTTTTTGTCACCATCAAAACTTAGATTGAATTATTTCTAAGTTAGCTTTTGAAAAGTAGGTTAGAATTACTGAGTTTAATTTGATTTCGATGTTTTTAATCGTTTTAAATTAATCTATATTAATTGAGTTTAATTTCAATTTGGACTTTATACCGATAATGTAGTTTAGTCCAGGGTTACAAATTGCCCCTATTGTTGTGATTTCAATTTAAATGAATACGTTAGCTAGCGGCTATGTTAGAAAGTTTGAGTTGAATATATATATACATACGCGATGATTCATAATTTAACCTAAATTAAAGTCTAAATTTTATAATTTAACCTTAAAAATAAGAAAGTTAATCAAATGAGATGTATAGGGATGTTCATTTACCATGCAAGCCAGAGACGCGTGTGGGCCCTCCACGAATGAAGTGAAGAAAGTGAATAATCTTCGTTTAAATGTTGAATATATATATATATATAGCAAATACCTTACTCCTTACGAAAAACACTTCTCGATAAGTGTAGACTCCGATGTGACTTGATTTGCAGTTCACTCTCACATCAGAGGAGTAAGGCACCATCCATTGTGTACCAATACCGAAGGCTTAGTGGAACTTCCTTCGGTGACTGCTACAGCAGCGGCGAGTAAGGGAAACTGCTTATTAAGTCTTGCAATAAAAGCTCTTCCCAATGTGTAGAGGCGACACAGGGAAACAGCTTATTAAGTCTTGCTCTATCCTATCTTATCCTCTTTTTGTCCTATCAGGTTTTTGCCCTATCCGGTTTTTGCAATTTCTGTATAATACTGCCGTGCTAATTACCCTCATCCCTTATCAGGAGTTTGTCCTATCCTGTTTTTGCAATTTCTGTATAATACTGCAGTGCTAATTACCCTCATACCTTATCAGAAGTAGGAAAGGCTAAGGCAATGCCTATTACCCACATACCTTCAGAGGATTAACCCATCTTTCACAATGGGTTGAACAGAAAAATTAAATTGCCTTAGTTCAGTTTTAATTTAATTTATTAATATATATATATATATATATATATATAAAATATGCTAATTTATAATATTTGAAATTATTAGTTTGATAATTTTTTTGATAATTTGAGGTTAGTAAAAGTAAATTGAATTTAAAGCAAATTAGTATAAAAAATGCATATAAGCATTTAATTCTAAATATTTTTTTATCTCAATTTTGTTGGGAAAGAAAAAACAAAGTGAATAATAGAAATTTGGGTTTCTCACGTGCCACTTGCCTCACTTTCGGATACAAGATTAGATGTCGTCACGTGAATATCACGTGCATTGCTCAATTCATGTATGATTCATGTATGAACCTGATTCATTTGATTCATCTGTTACATGAGTATGATTCATATATAAACGTTAATATTATTATTCTTATAAATAAATATATATAAAAAAAATGAGCGGATAGAAAATCAAGAATATATTCTGTATTAAGTTTAAAAAACCACACCAATGATATAATATTATCCACTTTGAGCATAAGCTCTCTTGGCTTTGCTTTAGGCTTCTCAAAAGGCCTCATACCAATGAAGTTAGTATTCCTCACTTATAAATCCATTATCATTCTCTAAATTAGTCGATGTGGGACTTTCATCATCCAACACTGATAATGATACTCCAACATATATATATATATATTATATTTTAAATAAATTAAGTTTTAAAACATGGAAATAAATAAATAAATAATATTTATAAGGCTTAGAATTATGTATTTATTTTAAAGTCTACAATTTGCATAGGATGCTGTTATTTTCAGCCACAGTCTGTCAGTCTCCTTTCTGTCCACCAAATTCCAAGTGTGACAGCCTGCATTCAACTCTTCCATAATAATAATAATAATAATAATAATAATAATAATAATAATGATGATGTTATTAATCATCTTATTATAAAACGATCTTATAGACTTATTCGTTTCGAACACAAGTCTTAAAATAAAACGACGTAAATATTTAAACTAAACTAAAATAAAATAAAGGAAAATTGTTAAAAGAGTAATGACGTATACTAACCTAACGCCTAAAACAATGAATGCAACTACTCTATGTAGATTTCATGGTCTTTAAGTATGATACTACCGTTCACTGTGCACGAGTGTCTTACTTTTACCTGAAAAGTGACCACTGATAGGGTTAGAGAATGCAAACACAAACAACATGAATGAGACCTATCATTTACAATTGTATTCTCTTATGTGACTTTTCTATCTAGGTCATTAGATGTGTGTTTACTACTCTACACACGACCCATACGTGCGAATATGAATCTACCAAGCAGTTCGCACACCCCCTAGGCCTTGTGCTACTAGGGCTAGCGTCTCTGGTGCTGTTGTCGAACACCCGAAAGAAATAGTGACCGTTGTAGCATCATGATA